GCCAACCTTCAACTCTCCCTGATCCCAACCCTCCCAGAGCAACATCCTCCAACAAGAAAGGCGGCCACTCTATGAAATACAAAGATTATTATTATCAATATGTTCCTAAATTGAGCAAATCTTGGTATCTGTTACATTTCTGTTTAATCACAAGGTAATGCCATTTAGGTTCAGGTTAAATCATTCAAATGGACGACAGAGTCTAATCCAGACTGTAGCTTGAGATGCAACGATAATAGCAGTATTCCTCACTTGACAAGCAAAGCTGCGCTTTGTCAACATATCCCATCTGTTAAGTCGCCATTTGGGAAGGTGCATATTTTACATCTCCAACATTTGCATGAAAGATTTAACTGTGTACACCCGGGAGCCGAAAAATAAATAAGTAATAAAAAGATAATATATTAAACGGTTACTTCATGGGCAACATATGTGATATGTGATTTGCACATTTTTAGGCAAAAGAGGCCGAAAATTGTAAATAAAACAGAAGAGAGACAAAAGGACTGATAGATCAATGTGCCAGGGTCACAGTGAAAGTATTGTCTGTGAAACACGGCCATGGACAGACAAATGTAATACTCTTTTGATTTCTTTTATGTACCGGGCAGATTGTCAATATTTGTAAATTCAGTAGACAACAACTGAAAACCATTTTTGTGATTCTGACAACGCCTTTCATATCTTTTCTATACAACTATAGAGATTTTATGATGCAGACATAATATTAAGGAAAATGATTTTTTGTTAAGACCTGGACTGCTACAAATTGTCTAGTGTAGAAATATTAGGAATTGTGCTTTTTCTTTGCTTAAAATGTCTGCATTTTCTGCTTTCCCTTTTAACTTCCCCTTAGCAAGTTTCCCCTCCTGACAAAGAACATAAGATGGATGTTCTATGCCCTAAGTACAACAGTACTCCCTTGTTATTTGATGGGATTTCCTTATCGAACTGCAATAAACTGAGACAAGTGGTTCAACCTCTCACTCACATCATGTCAACAATGCAATGACAATGTAGTTAAATAAAATGTTTAATCCTTTTGAGCACTAGTGTAGCAATTCTGACTCAGGGCTTGTGTAGCAGAACGCAGATCAATTGCTGCACATACCTGACAGCCTAGAGATAGCCAAATCTGTACAAATAACTCACTCCACCCATTCTGTGGCTTATGTGGTATTAGGGAAATATCATTCATGATATGCATTATGTACATATAATAATACAGAACTGGAGATTTTTACCTAAAGAACTAATTGCCCAACAACACTGCACTGAGTTTCCTGGCACGAAAATGTTAAACAAACCCTTATCGTTACTCAGTCATAAATACAAGACCAGTCGATGCCAGTTGATAGTTTAGATGTAAGATAAAAGAAGAAACATTTTGTGTTTCTGTGGGCGTGTTTGACAACTATCTGTTGTTATTTTGAACAATAGGCTTGCACTCATTTAAAGATTCTCTATTTTCAAAACTACATGTACATGTTGCTCATAAAGTTTTGGATTTATAATTAGTTAAACTTATAATGTAGCACTATACCTCAGGTGAAACAACAAGAAATTGAGATGTCACAAAGCACTTCACAGAATATACTGTAAAGTGAATTGACTGTATAAATAATAATAATAATAATCCTTGCATTTGGTATAGGCCTTTTCACATCTTCGAGACATCTCAAAGCGCTTCACTGAATATACTGTAATATACAGTCAATTCACTTTACAGTATATTCCGTGAAGCGCTTTGAGTCGTCTTGAAGAAATGAAAAGCGCTATATCAAATGCAAGGATTATTATTATTATTATATACACACTTACTGTTGCTACCTTTTTTCTCTCTGTTTTCTCTCCATTTCTTATTAAGTCTAAGATTGCTGCCTACTCCATGACACTTCTTCCTAGTTCTTGTATTCAACAATTTCCTATTTCAGGGTGTTACAATATCTGCAGCATATTGACTCATAATTCATTTTATTTTTGTCTAGCATGAATTATTTGTTGCACAAACTAGAACTACATTTTCCTCTCCCTCTCCCTTTTTTGCTCCTGTTAACCAATTTGATTTACAACCAACTCACTAGTGTAAATAAGTGTTACTTCATAATATACCAGCTCATTCTCTTTCTCTACTGTTTGGAATTACAATTTCATCTTCTACTCACGCACTAAAAAACACATTACTTGTAAATTAATGTATCTTTCTGTTTTCTACTTTTCACTTCTTTCCCTGGTGATCCAGACCATATTAAGTCAGATATGTCATGTATGTAATGAAAATATGTAATTAAAAAATGCTTCAATGCCTTTAGCATACTATACTGCATTTAAAAGCACTACATACTGTATGTATCTTCCCCACTAACAGATGTATTTACGCCACCCTGCTCTGTCTGTTCAAACTTCAAAGTGAATAATAATAATAATCCTTGCATTTGATATAATAATATCAAATAATCCTGATAAACAGAGTTATTTTTAAATTGCCACCCAACTTGTGAGTCTACTGATTGTGGGATGCACCTTTGTTGAGTGAATTCTTAGCTGAGCAAAAGGCTTCACAGAAACAAATGTGCAAAACAGTGTATGTTTTATAGCAAGGGATGTATGTGCCACGTACATTCCTTGCTATTCTCATCCCTCGTTGTTTGTACCTTGCTGGCTCAAATTAGCTTCTGCGTTTTAATCTATAATAATAATAATCCTTGCATTTTATACAGCACCTTATCACGTTTTGGAGACGCCTCAAAGCGCTTCACAGAATAGACTAAAAGTGAATTGACTGTACATATATATATTGGCTGCCGCATTTCGCCCACAAATATACAGTCAATTCACTTTACAGTCTATTCTGTGAAGCGCTTTGAGACGTCTCCAAAATGTGATAAGGTGCTATTTAAAATTCAAGGCCGGGCTCAAGACCTTTCTCTTTGACCGTGCCTTCAGCTCCCCTCTCGACTCCCTACCCCCTCCTCGCTCCCTCCCTTCCCTCCCCTCACCCTGACCATTTCCCCCCCACTGCTCGGGTCCTGACCCAACTGTCCAGCGCCTTGGGACGTCCTTCCGACGTGAAAGGCGCTCTATAAATGAAATCTTGTTGTTGTTGTCTAGAAGACGTGAAAAGTGCTATATCAAATGCAAGTATTATTATTATATTTTGCAAGTGAAACGCGGCACGTCCCACAAACAGTCGTGGATTGAGTGACCAAATTATTATTATTTATTTGAAGGGAATTACCCCCAGAAAGTGATCTTTTATAATCTTATATGACAACATAAACATCATTTTCTAATGAATCTTATTCTGGAAAGTTCTTTGAAATGTCCTCAAGGAACTGCAGGGTGCTATAGGGTAATTATTGGGGTGACACAGGGTGCTATAGGGTAATTATTGGGGTGACACAGGGTGCTATAGGGTAATTATTGGGGTGACACAGGGTGCTATAGGGTAATTATTGGGGTGACACAGGGTGCTATAGGGTAATTATTGGGGTGACACAGGGTGCTATAGGGTAATTATTGGGGCGACACAGGGTGCTATAGGGTAATTATTGGGGCGACACAGGGTGCTATAGGGTAATTATTGGGGCGACACAGGGTGCTATAGGGTAATTATTGGGGTGACACAGGGTGCTATAGGGTAATTATTGGGGTGACACAGGGTGTTATAGGGTAATTATTGGGGTGACACAGGGTGCTATAGGGTAATTGAGGTGACACAGGGTGCTATAGGGTAATTATTGAGGTGACACAGGGTGTTATAGGGTAATTATTGGGGTGACACAGGGTGCTATAGGGTAATTATTGAGGTGACACAGGGTGCTATAGGGTAATTATTGGGGTGACACAGGGTGCTATAGGGTAATTATTGGGGTGACACAGGGTGCTATAGGGTAATTATTGGGGTGACACAGGGTGCTATAGGGTAATTATTGGGGTGACACAGGGTGCTATAGGGTAATTATTGGGGTGACACAGGGGACGAGCTGCAAAGGGTTAAAACTTAGAACCGCCCCATCCTTTGCTGACGTCACAGGCCGCCGTCCCCATGGCAACCGTCAATCACCTCCACCCCACTGACAGGGGGAACCCCCCCTTTGTGTGTCGCCGTTAGAAGAGTTTCCAGCGACAGGAAAGCAGGTGAGTGCGGCTCCGGTTGTCAACCGGTAACTTGTGATGGTTATCCGCCACCAGATTGTGTTGTGACTGTTATTGCCTGTGGTTGATCTCCCCCTCCCTCCCCTTTCCTCGCCCAACAGTGGTCGGCTCCTGGGCTCTGGGCTCTGGGCGATGGACTGCACCATTGCTGTTTGTGGGGGGCGGCGGTCCATGGGATCAGCGTTTGGGCGATAAACTCCCGGTTGATTTGTTTTACATATCCCGGTTTATTGGTACCGTCTTGTGTCCCGATACCCCCCGTGAGTCCCCTCAGAGCCTCTGACACCCACCGGGTTTTTTTCTGGTTTCGCAGCGTTTTTTTTCCCTTTTTCCCGTTAATGGAACCGAGCCGCCCCGGACCGCACCACCGCGGGGAGGGGGGCGGGGGGGGGAGGGAATCCACTGCAGTTTATTTGAAAGAAAGAAACCGGGAGCGTTGTGGGGGGGGCGTTGGGGGGTGAGTGTGAGTGTGAGTGCAGCTGAGCCCCGGGGGGGCGGGGTGGGGGGTAACTGTGGGGCTGAGGCTGAGTGTCAGAGCGGTGCTGATAACACCCCCCCCCCTCCTATTGGATTATCCCGCCCCCCCCCCTCGCGCTGTTACTGGCGGCCAACGGCTCTCTGGGTGTGGCGGCTCCGGGCGGAGAGAGAGAGAGAGGGAGTGAGAGGGAGAGGGAGTGAGAGAGAGACGGACCCCGGGAGTGACCACCCAGCGCCCCTGGTGCCGAGGCCGTGGATCCCCCCTCTCGAGGCCGGACACCCGGCGTGAGCAGCGGTAGCGGCGGCGGGGCCCGAGGACAGGGACAGGGAGAGCGGCGGCGGCGGCCATGTCCGGCCAGTGAGGAGAGGAGAGGAGAGGAGAGCGGCGGTGAGGAGCGAGAGGCGGGCGACACGGGCTCAGGTACCGGGGGGGGCGGCGGGGGGGCGGGGGGAGAGGAGCCTCTCGTGCTCATCCTCAACCCCGGGGGGACATTAATAATGATGATGATGATGATGGACACGGCGCCTGGTCATGTGGTGGAGACCGTCTCAAAGCGCTTCACGGGAGACACGGTGAGGTGTAGTGACTGTGTGCTGTGGGCGAGTCTCCCCCGTTACACGGACCCGCGTCAGTCAGTCTCCCGGTGTCAGTCAGTCTCCCGGTGTCGGTCAGTCTCCCGGTGTCAGTCAGTCTCCCGGTGTCAGTCAGTCTCCCGGTGTCAGTCAGTCTCCCGGTGTCAGTCAGTCTCCCGGTCACCTCAGCATCGGGATTACATGTTCTCTTTGCTTTACCATAAACCGATCAGCTGCTCCTCTCTCTCTCTCTCCCCCCGCCCCCCCGCCCTCCCCCCCCCCCCGCCCCCACTCCCAGTTTTGCATTAAATTTGTGCCTTTTTGCAGGAATTAATAATGACTGAAATCGATTACAGTTAATAATATTAATGATGTGGTCACTCAGCCCACGACGGTGCGGGACGTCTCCGGGCGCAATTGGCTGCTGTGTTTCGTCCACAAAACACACTTTGCAGCGTTTCCTGTGAAGCGCTTTGAGATGTCTCGATGACGTGAGAAGGCGCCGTGTCAGATGCGCGGATTATTATTGTCTCAAAACTCTTAGAAATGCTCCAGTTAAGGAGAGAACTAAATACTACACTAAAATTACCTGCTTTAGGTCAGTGCATCGTTAAAAATAATAATTGTTGCATTTGGTATAGCGCCTTATCACATCTTTGAGAATATACTGTAAAGTGAATTGACTGTATATTTTTGTGGGCGAAACACGGCAGCCAATTGCACACAGCAATGCATTGAAAGCAGTAGGATTTTCATCACGAAATATCTTTTGTGCAGTCTCCCCGCCCCTCCCTCCTCACCTTGCAGTCATCATTTTTATCAGTTAAGTAGCAAAGTGATTTTTTTAAAAATGTCTGTCTTTCACCTTGTGTATTTTTATATAAAGGCCAATTGATAAGCAGTCAAGAAGGGATACTTACAGCAAGAAAGTGTATAATTTATATCCACCCAAAACCTTATTTGTAGGTATGGCTGCGTGGTTGATCTGTTCATTTATATTGAAAGGATGCAATGAAACAGAAGTGAGTGTGTAACAAGGTATTAACTTGGGAGGGATATGAGGGCAAATCATCTCATTAATTGCTAGATCTAAATTTGAGTTTTATCAGTATCATCTGAACCCTCAAATGTCCTTGAAACAATTCAGTTGTGTAATGCTTTATCATTCCTGCAGTTGGTAAAGGGTGGTACCTGCTTTTAGCATCTGCCCCAGTGTCACTGCACAGTGGTACGACATCGAGCTTTGATTGATTTTAATCATGATTTGACCTGAAGGGATTTGACTTGTGATTTTTAAATTGCTGTGAATATGTGGGTTTATTTTAACCTCCGTGTTGTAATAAAACATTTTTCATCCGTAAACAGTATTAGACTTGGCTGAATATATTACAAGGTAGCAAGAAATATGTCAAGTGGTTGAGATCGGTTAAGCTTTAAGCTCTTTATGAATAATATCTAAACCTCTCTAAAAAATTTACTGCCTTAGAATGCACACTTGTGATTATAGCTTATATCGAAACCTCAAATTTCTGGAATGTGAAGTAAATGTCAATTTTGGACTGCTCTTTGACATGTTGAAGGAGAAGTGTTAATGAGTGTAAATAACAAAATTTCGGGTGAGACAAGAGAATTCCCCCAAAAAAGTAACGGAAGGAATCGTGAACTGCAGTCACTTCTCTAGAAACTGAAGTATAAGTTCCATTTCTGGATGATGAACAGAGCTTGCAGAATTAGCTTATTTTAATAGTGATTGCTCTAATTTTTCCACCAGATCTTTGATTGCCATTAAACAATGCTGTCTGATTGAGTTTTTATATGTGTTGGATGATGATCTTGCTGTGTTGAACTTTCGCTTACTCAGTGGAAAATATTAAATGTTTTTTAATCAATTTAATTGCAAATTACCATATGTAACGTAAACTTCTGCTGTAGATAGTGAAAAACTTAGAAAATGACTGGGTTTTCTTTGTGATTTTAAATTCCTGCTTTTATATTTTTGAGGGCGAGGCCTCTGTAATGTAAATGAGCACAAGGGGAATGGATTGAACAGCACATGAAAGAAATGATTTGAGCATTATATTGGAGGTGCAGGTTTTTTAAATTGCCCCTCTACTGAAGGTGTACTGCTCCAACTGAGGCTGAGATATGAGTCCATGGACAGATCCCTCTCTCTCCCAGAACTTGTCTAACTGTCCATTCCTTATGTGTGATTATGGAATCACAGCTGACTCTTATCCTAACCCAGCAAGACATCTACAATTATTCTTCATAGCAGTAATTGTGTAGAGGTCAAGTCATCAAGTAACTTGTTTTTTTTCCCCTTTCATTGCTAGACCAGGGTTGCCCTCACTGTTTCCCTGACTGAGATCAGCAACTAACACTCCGGGGATGCTGGTTTGAGCTCAGGCCCTTTTGGGTGTGTATGGCTCAGGTTCCTCACGCAGGGTAATGTCCCAGAGCACTTGACAGTGGTGGTGCACGATGCTGAGCTGGGGGTAGGAGGTGACCATAAGCATGGTCTAAGAGGAAAGTCTTTGGACACGACCTGAAGATGGGGAAGGAAGGCGCGATGAGAAGGGATAGAGACAGAGTGTTTCAGAGTTTGGGGGCGTGGTGGCTGAAAGCGATGCCACTGATGGTGGAAAGGAAGCCATAAGGGAACATGCTGGAGCTAGTCTAGCGGAGGCAGCGAGTGGTGGATTGGGAAGTAAGCAGGTGGGAAAGGTAGGGAGGTACCAAGGCACGAAGGGATTTGAAATCAAAGCATTTAGTGTACTCCAGGATTAACTAAGCATCAACAATCAAATCAACAACATTGTTTTTATCAACTGTATTTAATTGAAATGTAAGTGTGGAATAGTGGATATGGTGGTCGCTTTACTTGTCGGTGTGCATTTGATGTTGAGTGTGGTAAGGTGTACATATTCAGTTTCCTACTTTTTTAAAAAAAAATTGTGTCATCTGGTTATGTAATTGTTAATGTTCACACATGAGAAATTAAACCACTTTCAGAAGAGTTTTGAGTATACTAAATACTTAGTTCCTTAAATATTGAACCATAGTATTGTGCTTATTTGAAATGTAAAGATATAGCATGTTTATTTGGGCAGAAGCCTGGAGCATGTTTGTTTTGCTGTGTGAGCAACATGATTGGGCATGACCAATGTTAGTGTTAGTTGCCACAATATGTGTCCTTATCTTAGGGCATTATTATCTTCTCTTGACTTCGCCCCTTCTGAGCTTTACAACTCTTGCATCCAGGAGACCAGTTCCCAGGTTACCACCAGTGCTGCTCTCTGCTGATTGTCTGGTTAGATTCAGTTTTAGAGTAGAGGATACCAATTGAAGGAGTTTGTCTATGCTACCGGCATTTTTGCCAATGTTAGGCGATACTAATAATTATTCATTGTAATGCACAATTTAATGATAATGCTAGATTTATACATAAATGTTCTTAAAATTACTGTTGCCAGACATTTTCCTGATGCGGAGGGAAGATCTGCTCACTTAGTTGTCTTAAGATGGATTTTTGTTCTCTTCTAGGAAAGGGTGGAATGAATTAGTTAGAAGGAAATAGGAAGTAATGAAACCCAATTGTAAGTTATTTCAAGCTATGGGAAGCTAGGAAGGACTGAAGAAGAGAACAGCAAATCATGAAGGGATGGACACAGCCAGATTAAGTGAGTGGGCAGAATTGTGGTGGATGGAGTTCAACATAGTAAGGTGCGAGGTAGTGACTTAAAAGAATGTTGAATGGGAATCATTCTAAATGGGACTCGGGTTACTAGTTTAGTTTGCAGATGCAAAAAATCTAGTAAAAATAGAATTTCTAATGAGCGTCTGGAACATAAAAAGCAAGGCAATGTTGCTACAGTTATACAGAGCTGTGGTCAGACCACCTTTAGATTACTGTAATCAGTTTTGGGAGCCTAAGGAAGGATATCCTGACTCTGGAGGGTGTTTAGTAATTGACCAGAATGGTTCCAGGGAGAAAGGATTTGACTATACTGAGCGGCTGGTAAATTTGGGCTTTGTTCCCTAGAGCTGAGGTTAATAATAATAATATCGCATTTGATATAGCATTTTCGAGACACAAAGTGCTTCACAGAATATATTGTAAAGTGAATTGGCTGTATATTTTGTGGGCGAAACGCGGCAGCCAATTGCGCACAGCAGTGTCCCCACAAATAGTCGTGGATTGAGTGACCAAATTTTTTTTTGAACGGATTATTATCCCTGAAAAGCAATCCTTCAATCAACTAACAACCGGGTTCCTACTTACTGCCAGGTGAACAGAGGCATGTGGAGTAAGGAACTTGCCCAATGTTTCTCCCTACCGGGGATCAAACCCAGGTTCTCTCGCTTGCGATGCGACTGCTCTACCCACTGAGCTACAGGACTCCCAAGGATGATCCTGATTGAGGCATTATGGAGCAACCGGGATGATCAGCTTTTGAAACACTAGAACTTCCTGTGTAGCTTCTGAGCACATGATTATTGATGTCTCTAAATGGAAAGCTTTGAGGGGAATAAAGTTAGGTACTGGTCCACTCTTCACATTGGTCAAGGATCCAAAACACCAGTAACCGTCTTAAAATTAGAGCTAAAGTGGTTATCAATGACATTAGAAGGCATTTCTTCACACAAAGGAGTGTGATGCACTGTTTGAGAAAGCTGCAGTGCAGAATTCATTGGTCTTTAAATGCGAGATAGATGCTTTGGAAGTAAGGGTATTAATGGATAAAAGGGGGGAGAAATGGGGTAAAAAGATCTGGAATTATGTAATAAAATGGTAGAACAGATTCAATTGGTTGA